ATGATCAGCAATTAATATTTATCGATACCATCGAAGAAAATCATTGATCCTCATGAACTTCTAATCTTGATTGCTCATTCAGCGATCATAGATGCGGACAGAGGAAAATTTCCAATGTCGCCCGATGGATGCTAGGAAGAGGGGATCGGAATAAGCTCAATAAAATCAGAAACAGCTCACAAATAAGGATATCAATTGAGATGCACAATTGATCACTACATAACATCAAATATAATCAACATTTTTAATCATTTCATACTGATGTGAGAACTATTAGATAAAAATTTTCGTTTACTGTATGCGATAAGCACAAGTACATAAGCACAAGTAATCCCATGAGATCATCGTGAAACGATACAGCAACAGAATAAATTGCACAATGAATTATTGTGATAGGTTATTTGGTAGGAATTCTTGAGAAATATGTGGTGAATGAATAAACTTTAATTGCAAGGGCTTTTTTGCTCAACGAGATTAATATTGGCACTGGTGGGTTTTCTTGCGTGTGTCACGATTTATACTCAACGAAACGATGTGAGCTTCGCTATCGTTTGTATGGTCAATCAAACTGCTGCCGACATGATTTCGTCGAATCAGCCACGTCCGCCGAACCAGTGTAAATCTGGCACGGCTAACACAACCTCATCGGAACCTACGGTAAGCAATCTCTTCCTTTCAACGAATATTTTATTCGCTTTATCATGGTCACTCGCTTGATCATTTTGTAGCTATCGCGGTAAGACTGCACCTGTGCTTACTGTTAGCAAGTTCGAATTGTTGTTGAGGTTTAAGCCATGAATGTATCTGTGATCAATGCAATAAACATATATATTGGTGCGATCGAATTGATTTAAGACAAAAAGTAGTTTGAGAAGAGAATGTTGTGCGTCCATTAGTCAGTTTTAATTTATCAAACACTGGATGCTTGATCGGATTTCGACAATCTTAACCATTCACTGAACTCGAACAATTTAGCTGGTTTGACTGTTAGGCAATCGAATAGGATTGTGCTGCTGCTCAGTGGTGCTATGAAACACTATCGTCTAACGACTGAATGTCTTATACTCAGTGGCTATCTTAAGATTCTTGGAACCTTTGCATAAGAAGAATTCTTCGTTAAAAAATGCTTCTCAATATCAACGTTGTTTATGCTGCATTATTTTATCTCATCGATTAACCTCTTTAGTGCATCGCACTCAATCTCGTTCATTATCAGTCAAAATAAGACGAATTTTCAGGTGTCCGGCTCATTGGTTTGGTCAAAATCAATGCAGGGGCTTGTGCTATCTGCCTTCTACTGGGGCTACATGTTTAGTCAAGTGCTTGGTGGTTATTTGGCTGGTCGTTTTGGTGGTAAATGGATTATTCTCGGTTCTGTTGGAACGAGTACGGTGCTGACATTAGTCAGCCCCATATGTGCCATTGCGCATGTCGGTGTTTTCCTCGCAGTTCGAGTGATTATGGGATTTAGTCAGGTCAGTTGAAGATTTTTGCAAATTTTACTCGCAGTGGCCAGCAACACATCACACAGCGAAAACTTGCTATTTTCACTCATTGTAATGGGAAAAACATGCGTTTCAATCGCAAGTTTATACCAAAAAATGAGACAATCTTCGCTGCGTTCTACAAATTATCGTGTATAAAACTTCAAGCTTTTTAACAGTGTTTGAATACAAGCATACAGCTGAAGAGAACAGTGATTAGGTGCGTGACTAGCAACTAGAATACCATTCGAGTTTTTCAATCACCGTTTCTCCAGTAAAATCAGTCCAGTGCTGCAATAAGCAAAACATACAATTTATAATTCAAGGGTATGATGTTTCCGGCGTTCCACTCACTTTGGGCTCAGTGGGCACCACCGCTTGAAAGAAGCTTGCTTACGGGCATCACCTATGCGGGTATGACCGTTGTTCAATGTGTACATGTTCATGAATGAGGATCTTTTGAGCGGATTGCCTCAACGGAATAATCAATTTTTTTTGTAAATTCAGAGCAGAACTATTGAGAAGACCGATTCTCAGCAATGTTTTGAGTATGATAGAATTTTTATATGAATGCACTGTTCGTGTTTTGTTGTTTTAAGGGAATCAAATTGGAATGACAATTGTGATGCCAATCTCAGGAGTGCTGTGCCAATATGGTTTCGCTCATGGATGGCCGTCCGTTTACTACGTTTTTGGTGAGTTCTTACATTTCTAAAGCTCTAGCAGAATGAATACGCAATGCAATTATCGTATAGTCAGAATTTTAAAGAAGCTGAAGAAAACGATGAATGTTATTGTTTTAGGAATAGCTGGTATAGTTTGGTGTGCAATTTGGTTGTTGTATGGATCAGATACACCGTCAGTGCATCGTTTCATCAGCCAAGAAGAGAAGGAATTCCTCGAGGATGAACTTCATGAAACCAGGCATATATCTGATGAAAAAGTTAGTCAAAAGTTCTCATCAAGAGAAGTTAGTTTGTTTCACACTCAGATTGTTGCTAAGAGCATGATGAACTGACTGCGCTTCACTTGTTCGAAATTTGCTGTTTAGTGATGATTCTCA